TTTTTTTGGTCTTTTTGAGACAGGGTTTCCCTATATCCCCTGGCCTGGAACTCAGTATGTAGACCAGGCTGGCCTTGAACTCAGAGAGATCTGCCTGTCTCTGCCTCCCGAGTGCTGGGATTAAAGGCGTGCGCCACTACGCCCGGCTTTTTTTTTGGCTTAAAATTTTACTTTTTATGTGTATGAGTATACTGCCTGCATGTAAGTGCCCCCGGGTTGACCTCTTCGGAGGTCGGAAGAATCTGTCCGATCTGGAACTGGAGTTACAGATGGTTACTAGCCGCCATGTGGGTGCTAGGAATCGAACCTGGGTCTTCTACAAGAGCAGCCAGTGCTCTTGAGCCATCGCTCCAGCCCCAGTAAGTCCATTTTATGTTCCACATGCATGTCACAAAACGGTACTCATTTTCACTATGTGGGATGCACCGTACTTTCCTTTCTAATTCGATTTGACTTTTATGAAATGCTGGTCACCACTCACAAATATGTCATAGTGAAATATCTCACCAAACACCTGACCCTGATCTGATGGTCCAGATAGGGACACAGGTGCACACACATGCAAAATCACTAATCGTGCAGTCTACTTCAAAGTCGTGCGAAGGTTCGGCTGCAGCCTGAGGACTTCCAGGTGGCTCAGCATCCAGCCAGTCAGGGTTTAAGGGCACGGAGGGCTCCGCAGGCTTCCGAGGAGGGGCGGGGCGCTGCACGCGGCACGTGGGGCCACCCGCTCCCCGTACTCCTGGCTCCCGATCATCCCCGCTCTCCGTGCTCCCGGCTCCTCATCGTCCCCGCTCCCCGTCCTCCCGGCTCCCCATCGTCCCCGCTCCCCGTCCTCCGGGCTCCCCATCGTCCCCGCTCTCCGTGCTCCCGGCTCCCCATCGTCCCCGCTCTCCGTGCTCCCGGCTCCCCATCATCCCCGCTCTGCATCCTCCCGGCTCCCCATCATCCCCGCTCCTCGTGCTCCTGGCTCCCCATCCTCCCCGCTCTCCGTCCTCCAGGCTCTCCATCATCCCCGCTCCTCGTGCTCCTGGCTCCTCATCCTCCCCGCTCCGCGTCCTCCCGGCTCCTCATCATCCCCGCTCCTCCTGCTCCTGGCTCCCCATCCTCCCGGCTCCGCGTCCTACCGGCTCCCCATCCTCCCCGCTCGCCGTCCTCCCGGCTCCGCCCCCCTGCTCCCCAGCGCAGTCCTCCAAGCTCTTCGGCTCGGGGGAACTGAGACCCGAGTCTGGAACCCAGTGAACGCGGCCCCCGGAGCCGGGCCCCGCACGCGCGGTAGGCGGAGCCTGGCGCTGCTCCAGGTCCCGCCCCCAAGTTTGCAAACAGCCGCCTCCCCGCCCGCGCTCCCGCCCCCGCGCACGCGCACTCCGCCCCGCCCGCTCCGTCAGGTGCCCCGAAGCCGCGCGCGGCGCCTGCCGGGAGCCGGTCCTGGCAAGCCCCTGAGGCGGGTCCACGCCCGCAGTTCCCCGCTGCGCAGGCGCAGCCCCGCCCACGACCGGCGGCGCGGCCATATTTAAAGAGAGGCGGGGGCCGCCCACCCAAGGGGGGGGGGGCGGGGGGGGGGGGG